GTTTTTTGCGAGGGGAACTGTGAGAATCCATCATGGCCACTTCGGAGGCCCCTTTCTCCCGAAGTAGTGTGAGACGCCTTCCTACTCAGTGAACTCGCAACCCCTTTTCCCAATCGACGTGGTACTGCCCCGGAACCGCGTTAGCATTTCTTCTGGGCAGTGTCGATTCTAGTTAACCCCCTCCGGGATTCTCAAATTTCTCGTAAGTTGGTGTCATCTAACCTTTATTGTCATCACCGTTACATTTTTTGCGTCTAAGAATGCACTCTGAAAATGATGTTAGCGTTCCAAGATTGGGCGTTGCCCAGCATCAGATGGATAACATTTTCTGGTGTTATGTGCCCTGTTCTTTTTTTCCCCTTAATTCTTTTCTAACACGAATCCTTTCTTCCTCCCATCTTTCGCACGCGAAGAATGTGTGCAGTGTGTCATCTTCGTTGTTGCAGTAGAGACATTTGGGGCTTCTTACTTTCTGCATTTTTTGGAAGTATTTTCTAAAGCATCCATGCTCGCTAAGGAGCTGAGTAAGGTGATAGTTGACCTCGCCATGCTCTCCCTTTATCCACGAGGGATCAATCAATTGGTCCATTTTCCGATATTGGATTCTTCCCATCCTCATTGTCATTTCTGGAATAGTAATTGGCGCTCTGCCTTTGTCTCCCTGGTTGCGCCAAACGTCTTTGCGTCCTTGAGCGAGATGTATTGGAGTAGTGCTCGCTATCACGACGACCGCAGCTTCGGACGCTGTGCGTTATGCGCACGAGACCCTGTCAGTGGCGCATGCTCCTTCAGGGTGTTCACAAGAATTAGAATCTTAGACCTTCGGGTCGCCGATAATCTAAGATAATATAACCAACAACAGGAATGTCATTTGAAAAATAGTTTTGATACAGATTTTTAAAATATATACTTATAATTGAAATAAATTATTCTTGGAAGGCTAATTATAGCTCTTACACATCCCTTTCAGTAAAACTCCTGTTAATTATGCAGATAAATCAACAACAATGCTGCTTGTACGGGAAGTATTCTTGCTTGTCCGCGAATTTATCAATTATTCTCTCATTGAAGTATCTAATTTCATCTATTATGACCTTTTCAACATATAACATGGTAAGTGCTACTTTTCCCTCATTGTACGTCTGAAGAATGTATTGATTCGCTTCACAGTTGAGAAAAATCTTTTTGCTTCCGATGTTGTCATGGAAATTGTAGCAACTAATTTCAGTAATCGAATCACTTCACTGAATGACTCACCGAGGTTATTTTTAGCCAAGAATCCAAGAAGAGCTGTTAAGCTAGCGTGTTCCTCAAAGTCATCCCTCGAGTAAATAATTTGTTTTTCTGTTTTCAATTGATGCTTGTTAAAAAAGGAATGTTCCACAAATTATGAAATGTATTTCTCTGAATTTTTTTTCTGAATGATGGCATTTCCTTCACTACAATGTATCTCGATGGGCGTTGGTCTTCCTGCCTCTTGTCGCGACCATCTTCTTCAGGACTTTGTTGTAGCAATTTGATAAATATCCTCTCTTATTTCTGTTATTTATTTTCAAAGGATGTTATGCTATGTTTTGTAGAAAGAATGTCACTGGTACAGCGTTGTAACTGATTGTACAAAATGTCCACATGGAGCAAAACTCGATAAAAGAATAACCAGAATTCAAAGGTTCGTTCCTGGAATTTAAGTAGTAACCCATCGACTGAGTGTATGGTAATTGTTTGCCCACTGCTTTCTTAAATTCTTGTGAGGCATTCTAGTATAGATTCTCTGTTTGTCAATTGTCAGAACGGATCTAGATTGAAAATTATATCTTGTTGAAGAACCATGTGGTATCTACTACTTCATTTATCACAGAAACTCTTTAGATTTTTTTAGTAAAAAAAACTATGTGACGTGACTTCCTGAGGTGAATGAGAAAAGAATGATACTTCACCAAACAAAAAGCAATCTTACTTGTTTATTCAGACTTGCGGTCTGGGAAAGAATTATATTAAGCTGATGTGCATAACAATAAATGAAGAAAGCAAATGGATATTGTCTTATTAATGTTTGCACGCCAGACGACTCGCTCATAACATTAACATCATCATAACTTCGAGAAGTCAATTGTTCTCCAAGAACTTCGTGAAGTATTTCTTCAAGGTAATAGGCCAAAGAATCTTCATCTTACTACAGGGATTTAAAAATATTCAAATCTTTCTACAGGTTTCCCAATGGGTAGCGCATAACGAAATATGTACAACTAACTCTGACGTTGGCGAAACATTCGTGGTTTCGTCTGCTATTAGAAAAAAAAATCAGCTTTCCCTATTTCAGAAACAATTGTCTTTCTACACACAGCCAACATACATTCTAATAAATCTATTCTAAAATAATTTTCTATTTCTTTTGATGTACCTTTAAATACGCTAGTGGAATTGAGCCAATTGAACCTAATTTTGATGTAAAATTAATTAAACCTGTGAATATGCCTGGGTTATTCGACTCAGATGGTTCATCATGCCCACGTAATGCAAGTTCGAACTGGCCTCAGAACTTCATGCAATGATTCTTGAAAGTATGTACCGAATGTTTCGAACAGAATCATTGTATGTCTTAATGTTTGTAATGGGGAAACATATAAGAAAGAATTTTTTGGGGCAATAGATTCATGTTTCTTGATGTTTTGCGATAAGGGATTCAAACCATCTACTCCAGGTTTTGACCATGCCACATCCTTATTCACAGCAAAAATCAAGCACGGGTAACAATTCATTTTATTTGTAACTTCACACCCACATAACCAGCTGTTCCTCAATAAATATCCCGCTTAAAAGTTCTTACCGCGACTGGTTTGTTTGTTTTTGTTTTAACTTCAGATCAGGTAGTGATCTGAGGGTTCCTTAATTCGTAACTTGTCTTCCGCACTCAGATTCGCAAACTTAATATATAAAAGGGACTGGACATTATTCATCTTGACTCTTCATTTATTCCACACGAATGCATCAAATTCACATTTGTTTTCGATCAGACGAATTTTATATTAAAAATGGAGCACTGTTATCGTTCTTGATAACTCGATTGGAATATGAAAGCAAACACACACATTCGTTTACCGCAACATCGTTATAACTCACATCCCGGTATAGTACGAATTCACATTCAAACGGCCAGGCCAAGGTCCACACTACCTACCAACAGCAGAAGCGATTTCTAAACATGTCACAGCTAACAGAATAGTAAACCTTCGATTATAACTATGAAGAAAAGAATTAGAAATTTTCAAAGAAAGAAAATATTTGTTCAATACATTAAAATCACATTTCTTCTTCTCCCTCAGGCAATAGATCTGCTGGTCCGTTTGCGACTCGTTGATCACTCCATCTTCTTTGGGTGTGTCAACACATCGTTTCCCTCGAGGTATGTAGAAGAGGAGTTGCTTAGGCAAACGATTATTTTCCTTCCTTAGTACATGGTACGATTTTGTCGTTTAGATTGTAAATTTTGAGGTTCTCCAGGATGGTCCCGTTTTTCAATCGGTCTCTTCTTGTTACTCCTAGGTTCGACCTCAAAAATCTCATTTCAGCAGGGCTGCCATCTCACTACTTTCAAACCAGCAAAATTTGCTTAAGATTTTGTCTTCAAAACAGATTCCTCTCTGTAGCACTGACGTGTCTCCCCATGGTAGTCTGCCAGCCAGGTCGTCTTCACCTGTAACCCTAGGGAGGGGGCGTTTCCTAGGTACTGACAGCCGGAGCCAGCTGAGCCCATATTTTGTACATGTATGCTCCTCTGAATATTCTTCCGCGTCAAGAACCGATCCTATTCCGTTGTTCATCACAGAGGTCCGTTGGTATCCGCAAGGAAGGTCCAAGGGGGCGCGACAGGACGTGGACGCGGTTTGCCCCCCCCCTCACATTTCTTTAATTATTTAAATCTATTTCATGTCATTTTCTGAAGAAGGTACAGTACAAATAATGTGTTATAAAACAAATATGGTTGAGCAAGAGTCTTCGTTCGACGAAGACAGCTTGGGATTCCCGAGTCTGCCTTTTTTGGCCTCTTGCCAATGAAGCCTTTGTGGGGTCGTGGAGCCCCGCCGCCTTTCGGATTGTGAGCTGGCCGGAAGAGCAGCGCACGCACCATGTTTTCGCTGCATCTTCCCCTCGCCGTCATGTCACGCCGCTCGGGGATTCTCTGCCGCTTGGTGAACCTCCTATTCCGCAAACGAGACGGCGCGACGCATCAGACCTTCGCTCTCAACTGAACATTTGATAGAATTCTTAGTTGAAGAACCTCATTAAAGACAGAAAGAAAAGTTGTAGCTCTTCATGCAGCTGAAATAAAAATATCAGATCTCATGGAATTTTAGGGGGGTTCACTGAACTACTGAACCCATTGCACGAGCTACCACTGCCCTCAGTGCTCCGCATCGTTGCACGGCCGCCATTCTTTTACTGTTCTTCTCTTTGTCCAGAGCCTTCGCCCGTATTTCCGCTCAATAGAATAGAATTGGTTTCGTAATTGACATAAGGAGACGCCGCTTACTAGGTTTTGGAACGCTGGTGTATGCCATCAAATTGCTTAGTGCTGTTGTGACTTCCGCGGCCTTGCCTGCTGCCCGCTGGATGAGGCATGTAACTCCGCTTCGTGTCAAGCGTAATCCCTAGGTACTTTGCACTTAATGTCAGAGTCTCCGCTCTTAAGTGTGACCCGCGTCGATAAACGATTCCTTGAAAATACGATTTGGGTCCTTGCTTCGGCAGCAGTAGTAGTTTTCTTCTTATTTGCAAAACGATCATTGAATAGATAGAAAATTTAAAAAAAAATGAAAGTGTTAAAAACTACGAGTCTAGAAAATAGGGTTAGAACGTTCATGGGCAGGGACATGTCAAGTTACTTAGTCTTTTTTGATTATTTAATTTATGTATCACTCACAACAATATATAAATTTTTAAAGTGGGCAATTTGTCAATATGGGAATATTTTGAAAGACATGAAATGAAAAAATAAACCATTGTTCAAAGAAAAACAAATTTTGTATTTAAATATAAATTGTTAGTTTCAACAATATACATATGACATTTAGACAAACAATGAAATTTACTTTATTTACAACCAAGAAATCAAGGCACATATGATCAAAATTTATAATCTAAACCCTAACACTAAGATAACTGTTCGATATATGTAATGTAACAAAGTTCAATAAAAATTCCTCTAATTGAAAATATAATAGTTCTTGCACACTTTTCTGGAGTGATATTAGACTACAAACTTAGTCACACACCAATACTCAAATACACTTTACAATATAACAATAAAACTGCTAGGCAATGGTACAATTACTGCATTATGCCCAAAAAATTAGTTTCCTCAAAAACATCACGTCACCAGCACCTAGATTTTGATAACATATCCAAAACATTTTATAACTAACCGCATTTACAAAAATTATTTACAAATATGAATGAAAAATAAAATATATGCATTCTTCTGTATTAAAATAACTGTACATGCTACTCACAAAATATTCAAGTTTTCTTCTTGTGTTTGTGTAGGTGTCTACATATGGTTGCGCAGAAAGAATAGCCTGATTTTAGTGACGTAGAACAGGGGTACTGTTTGCACAAGCTCGACGTATGTGGAAAAAAGAGGGTCATTTGCAATTACAGCTTTGTGGAATCCAGAGCAATGATCTTTCTATGAAAACTTACTTTAAAAATGACGAGTCTCTCATTACTATTCAAAGACTCTTTCCTTGACATTTCAGGTTGAGACGCCACGACAAAGTTCCCGATCACCTAAAATTGTTCGCCCAACGTAGGGTGTTCGGTACTATGCACCAGAAAACCCAAGTGAGCTGCATGACAAACTGAATCATAGTGAACATGTGTAAATGTGTAGTACCGTTGCTTCGTTTGGCATCACAGTTATTTCAGCGAGGGCCACAATAGCCGTACTGTTGCAGTTACTAGTTACAGTTAGTTACAGTTACTAGTTACTTCCTGAATATGGTAAATACTGTTCTTCTTCCAGCCACCACAATCTTCCTCAGGTAAGGTTCCAACTGTATAGGACAACATCTCACAAAGCACGGCAATCCCAGGCCATCTCGCGATCTGCTTTTGAAGGTCAATTATTTTCAAGATTTGGAAACATCAACTGGTGTGCGCAATAAGCAGATTTTACTCCCCTTCGCAGAACTTGAGAGTAGGATACGAGAAGCCTTACAGGAAATCCTCTCTGATAGATTGATCGTGTGATGGAGGATGTCGTTCGCCGCTTGAAGGAATGTGTACAATATAATGGCGGTCAGTTTCTGGGTGTAATATTCAAGAAACAGTGGCTTATTGTAATAATGACTAAATGGCATACCTTTACTTATATTCTCAATGTATTTTCAAATATATATATATATATACTGCACTGTATTGACAGGGTGAGTGTCACATATTCACACACCCAAGAATTTGTGTAAGGTCTGCCAACTTCTCCAAAATATTACATACAATTTTTACTGTTATTTGACAAATAATACAATACTAAATTAATATTAATTAACCCCTATTACTCATCAATAAAAAGTTAATATCTCAATAGAATTTAATCCTGCATTAAAATGAAATTGGAAAATCTTACTTAATCCCTTAAATTACATTCAAGGCACACACTTATTCAAAATACTTTTTGTATATAGAAGCCCACCCAAAGGAAACAAATTCAACATGAAATAAATTATCCCAATTTTTGTACTTCACAAATTCGTCAGTATCAAATATACAAAAAAGTAAAGACAATCTTACAAACATAACCATTCAAAATATTTGTACTATTAACCCAATAAGCAAGGCACACATGAGATGAAATTAAAGACTAGAGAGTTTTACTTTTATTACAATTTTCATTATTTTAAGGCACTGCTTATTTCAGGGAAATATTGTCATGTAAAATTAAGCAGTTGTTTGAAACCCAAGATTTCATTGCAGAAGAATCCCACTGTCATCAAAATCATAGCAAAACCATAGAATAAAACACAAATGTGTTTGGTTCCAAGAGTCTGTTGGCCTCCTAATCAAAATTATTACCTTTCCCCTCAGGTTAATTTCTTAGTACTAAAATGAAGAATAATTAGAAAGAAAGCACTGAACCTTCTTCATTCTGATCTACTTCCACTGGAGGACTGAACCACAAATTGGCAGATACAATAGGAATTTGTCCTATTTCAAACCATGCATTATCAACCAGGGTTCCCCTTTTATCTCTCAGTTCAATTGTCATATCTAAAATAGGTGGCTGAAAAGAAAAAAAATACAATTGTAAATGTTTTTAAAACAAGTAAACAAGTCATAGGTAAATGATTTTGTTAGCTTGCGGAATCACTAAGGATGGCAAAGGATTTTTTTAAAAAATTTATTACAATAAATTTTTCCAGAAACATCAATGTTTTCAAAAAAATTCTCTCATGATATAAATACAATTTCTAGTAACTAATGTTTTGTGAATTGCTCAACACCATCAGTCACTGATATCTATCACTGATGTCAATGCCCACATGGCATGAAATCATTTACCTTTTGCAAGGTTTCTCCAGTATTGCAAGGTTAAGGGATTTAATTTTCGTGTTTATGGGTAAATTTGGGGAGAAGGGAGAGTATTCTTTATGGTTATTTTTGGGGATTAGTTCAGGATGTCTCACTTTATCATAAATTTAACAAAATATCTATTATGTTTCATGCAAAATGTTAACGATTGACAAAACTCAACAAATTGGATTAATATATGCTGTAGATAGATTGTGATTGTGTAGTAAGATTGGTTGAGATAAAGACGAAAATAATTGTTTAAAATAAAATTTTACTAACAGTAAACCACATACAGCTTATTGAAAAAAAGCTTGCCCAAAATATATTAATGTAAACCCAAAATTATATTTTCTACACATACATAATTATCATGGGGTCACCAAGGTTCACCATGTGAGTGAAATGGCACATTTTATAATAATGACTTTAGTACTAAAAAAATGAAAATAGAGAGCATGTAAATAGTATATCGTAACAAAGTAAAATAAATAGTTATTTTACGTGGGAAAAATATTCTTCGGTTTATTAGTGTTAGTTTTAATCACACAATTTGTAGTCAGAAATTGACTTTAATCTGATGATTTATGAATGAAAGTGATTAGGCAAAATTAAAAAATTGCAAAACACGAAGCCTTTTATTTTAACTAGTGGACCCAGCAATGCTTTGCTATTGCACCGTATTCCACATCACACATTATTGGTCATAAGATTGTTAATTACGTTTTACGCTATGCTGAGCAAACTTTCTAATAGGTGAAAAACTTTCTCGCATGTATGGGTCTACATACTCTCTGTCCTGGTTTGGACATGGTTATGAAGTCTCCTACAGTTAAAACCAGAAAAATATCTAGGTATTAGGTACCCATGACCAGCAAACTTATCTTATGTGCCTCTGGGAGGATAATTCCACGTAGAGTTGTTGTTATTTGTTTTAGATGTATGCTCTAAATAGCATCCTTTGTGAGAGGCATCCCTGGCATGCGCCATGTCTGTCTTACCATAGATAAGACTCTGGTTAAAATATTCTCCCTCAAATGTGGACACGCATTCGCTGCAACACAATCTTGGAGAAAATTGATTTACTTCTAATAATAATTCCCGCGGATATTTCACAAAGGGGCAGAATACTTACATGCAGTGACGACGGACTTAATCCTTGACTGTGATGCGGGTTGCGTAGAGTTCAGGGACACTTTTCTTAAAAACTGCTCGAAATTATTCAGAGAAAATTGCCATTTAGGACGAGGTTTTACTGTTCTTTAATATTCTTAAAATAATATTTCCGTTCTACAATTTGGATGCCGTATCGCTTAAACGCCATTTTCTTGAAAACAAAGCAGCAAATTTGTCAAAGAAAATTGCTTTTACTGTTCTAAAATATTCTTAAAATAATATTTCCAGTCCACAATTAGGATATAGCAGCGCTAAAGCACCTTTTTCTTAAAAACGGTTGCACATTCTTCACAGAAAATTGCAATTTTCGACGAGGTTTTACTGTTCTTGAATATTCATAAAATTATTTTTCCGTTCTATTATTAGGAAAGAGAAAATTTCAAAACAATGTACTTTGGGCGGCGATGGATGACAGCTGGCAAGAGTATGTCGCAAGTCCGACTAGCTAGTCGAGACCAATGGAAATAGAAAACTAATACGGGAAAGTCTGTGCCATTCTGTAGCACCACTCGTTAAGAAATGTGAATAGTTTTTGGACAATCTTGCATGAAAATTGGGCAATGTTTAAACAATTACTTTTCCAACAAAAGTTCAATTTTTTTCTTTAATTTTGTATGTAAGTATGTATCGTATGTAGGTTTGTATATTCTTATATGTATTGTTCAGATGTTATGTAATCAGATTTCAGAAATTGTGGGATCTTGATACCGGAAAAGCATTTCTTTTTTTTCCAAAAGGTCCATTGGTCTGTGAATATCACTAATGAAATAATGTACACAAATTGCTGGAAATGTGCATATTAAAAGCGTGAGAGATATTTAAAAAAAATTATGTTTGTGTAATTGTCTTCAAACCTAATCATACATAGGATTTCTTCCCAAATGGATATTCCCCGATCGATATGGCTTAACTCCAAGGTTTGCTATTTTAAAAATTTCATTAATTTTTAAAATTAAATTTATTAATTTTTGTGGGTATTTTACATAAAATTCCTGTGGCATTCTCAAAATTTTCCCAAAAATTGCTTTGAATTTTTTTCTTTAAAGTTTTTTAAACAATAGAGTAAAATACCCCTGTAAAGGTGGCCTAGGTCAGATTTTCACAGTAAACTCTGAATTCTCAAAAATTGAAAAAGTTTGAAATTTTAGGCGTCTTCATACAAATACAAAATTGAAGATAGTTTTTTCCTTGCAATTAAAATTGTTCTCCATAATTAGTTCCTTCATTAATGGTCATGTACATTCTTTTGAAACTTTTAGTAGTTTTTGCACTATAATCTGTGCAATATTAAAACATATCATACACAAGATTTTCTCAAAAACAGCTCCAAATTTTTTCTTTAAACTTTTGGTAGAAGTAGTGATGATGAGCTCTTTGAGATGACATAAACGCCATTTTGCTCAAGTTTTTTCAAAAAATGCAAAAAAGTAATTTTTTGACTAGCCTCTCACGTTGTTAATATTTACAATAGAGGCGATTTGTTCACATTATTGCATTTACGGGTATATGCACTTTAAATTGTTTTATAAAGTTTTCTGAAACTCAAAGGCTTTTATTAAAACAAGCTCAAAATATCGCTTTTTCATAAGTATTTAAACGCCATTTTTTCAAAAACTGCTCCAAATTTTTGCTGCAAACTTTTGAAATGGATAGTGCTAATTTAAAATGACATATAAGTCATTTTATTTTATTCTTTTGTTGTTGTTTTTCAAAAATTACACAAATGTAATTTTTTTAAATACCTGTCATGCTTTTAATATGCACATTTCCAGCAATTTGTTTAGATTATTGCATTTGTGAGTGCTCTTAAGTAACGTCCAATAAACTTTTTTGAAAACTCAAAAGATTTTGTTAAAAAGATCATCAAATTTCTCATTTACAGTAATACCTAAACACCATTTTCTATGATGACCCTATGATGATGGAGACTACCAGTGACAGTGCAAGGATATTTGTCCACCTCCAAGAGCAGTATTACCCATTTTTCAAGGTCACATTTCGGGAAAGTAAACATCTATGCAACCAAACGCCTTTGAGACAAGGTAGATAAAGGTGTATGAGGTAGGCCATACAAGATGGTCATGGATAAGTTAAAATGGTAGCACACCGCATCGAACATTCGTTTGAGAATTGTAATGATACCACACCACCTTGCCAAGCTGAATAATATCATAGTCATTTGAGCCAGAAATGGTCTTATCAGTCACTAAAGAAGAGCTACTGCATACATCAGCATCAATGGGGTAGTATCACCAACACTGCCCTCATGAGTACAATACACGATCATACCAAATCATTTGTAGATCTTTTTAATTTTTGCCTAAGAGATGGAAAAAGTTCTCAAGTGCAATGTAAGCACTAGTTGAATGAAGCTGTTAGAAAGGAGGACTCTCAGAAAAAGCTTCATTTTACAAATTGCAGTAAAAAAAGAAAATTTACTGCATGAACATTACTAAAGACATAACAGGGTATGTTTGCCTATTTCTCAACATACAACTGAAGGGCTCAGTAGAACAAGGGGCTATCCCACTTTGACCTAGTTCTGAGAAACTGAGGGTTTTACTAGAGCTTTCATAAAATTTCTTAGATATCATGGATCAGTAAATTATATATGACATACTTTTACACAAATCAAGGTCACTTAAAGCAAATGAGAAAAAAATTATTAATATCTAATTTTTTTTTTTTTTTAACAATTGTTCTTTCACCAATATTGGTTCCGTGCTTTCCTTTCTTGCAAGAAAAAGACTTCATTAAAGTCCAAATAAATATAAATTTTGAGCATTATAATTATCCCATTAACAGAAATCACAAAACATAGAATCTTTTTCATCACTGGAAAATGAATGTACACCATTCTCTTTTGTAAAGGTTAATGTCAATACACGCTTTGGTGGCACAAACTTTCATTTTTTTAGAAATATATTCTTCTCCACTATTCCTCACCTTCTTCATTTTCTTTCAAGTTTTCAGGATATATTTTCCTTTTATTTGCCTTTTTTCCAAGGGAAGAGGATTCTTGTTTTCTGTAATCTCCGTAGTCACTGTCACAATGATTTACCATGATTTACCACCATCATAAGAAAACTATTTCTATTCGCTGGGTAACAGAACTACTAACCAAAGAGACAGAAGCTTGGATTCCCTTTGGGGAATTGATAGATTTATTTAATGTCAAAAACAGTTAAAACTTTTGAGGGATAGCCCCTTGTTCGACTGAGGTTTCTGCAAAGCTGATATACAGAAATTTTTTAAACACAGTACACTTGCACGTAAGTCCTTACTGGTTTCAAACAACTTATTACACCAAAAGAATTGTATTTGAAGTTGTATTTAATGCTAATAACTAAATTGCACAAACAAATGTGAGATAGAGCTTTGTTCTACTGAGCCCTTCAATTCATGAATTTGTCAGTGGAAGAGTCTGTCCTATATGGTATTGGATTTGCACTACACCTGGAATTTTATGGAACAATGTATTTATGTATCAATGATTCAGGAAACTAAAACAAAATCCAATGCAATGAACCTGAACTAAAAATAATTTCTGTGTCTCCAAATTCAAGAGGCATCTCTAGACATTTCAACCAAATGAGTTTTTGTTCTCGTTTAGTTAGTATCCAAAATATTAGCACTTCTGAACATTTTATATTTGAATTTTTCTGGTTACTAACTTACCTTCAATTTCTGAAGATTCAGAATGGTTAAAATCTTCACTCCTTTATCTATCTTAAGTTGCATTTCAAGTTCCTGGGGAAATAAATTAATTTATTAAAGCACACACTATATTCACAAACATACATTTTTATAATGTGCCAATAGATTTCACTCCATAAAAACACTTTGACAAAAATAATATATTACAAATGAATTTTTCTCTTCACGAGTAAATTACTTTGTAAGAAAACTCCCAGAAGCTTCTGACTGATACCAGGAACTCCATTTCATCAACTGCATACACAATAGAAACAGTGAAGTGCAATATATCATGTCATGAAATTTTATTTAACAAATGGTTAGTAATGTACTGAAATATAGGTGATATTGGAATTTCTTATTAATAAAAAGCAATTAAAATTTAACTCCACGAGTTCCTCAGGGAGTAATAGAAGGTTCATTTCACAAATATACACTAACCTACATCAAAACAATCTGGATATGAACTATGATAAAACAAACATGAAACTCTTTCATCAGTATGGATAATACCAATGATATTTCTAACATCCAAGTGAATAACAAGGCAATTGACAGAATGACTGGCAAAATCTTTCAATAACTTGAGGATGGACCAAATCTAATCGCCTCAGCAGGGAAATCAGCTCATCCATCACTCAACCCTGAGAGAGGGAATGTGGTTAGGATGGGGAAGGAAAAACCACATGCGATCCTTGGATGCATTTTCAAAGAAAGCACTATAATTGATAATTTACCTCACAATGTACATATCAACACAGTTCCAACATTTTCCTCCTAAGGTATTTTTCACAATATTTGAGCACTGAATCTTAGTCAACTATATATAACAGAATAATACAGTAAAATCTAAGCTGCAATCGATCAGGACAAAAAAACTCATATTTAGGGATTCCCTTTTATGCAGGGCTGTCCATTTTATGACACGTGTGACATATACGACATTAATTTTTATGACATTTCCATCCTGAAACTAGCAAATTACTACACTATTATAATTAAGAAAATACATTATCATATAATGTATTTATGGAAGAAATCAATAATAAATAAGTATTAAACACAGTTCTGAAAATTAGAAGAAAACTAGTGGTGCTAAAGCATCAAGTATTTTCTCACCCGTAATTTCTTGTAAAATTATGAGAAAAGTACTCAAATATTCAAAAAATTGTACATGTCCTTATTTCAAAATATATCTTTGAGGAACAGACTTTATTAAGAGGGAAAATCTCTATTTTCAATATTTTAGTTGTAGGAAGACTCCAAAATAATTTTGGACTTTTGTAATTTTCGAAAAATTAGAGTTTTCAACGAATATAAGACCTGCACCGTTCTCTTAAACGTCCTTTACACTATTAAACGAAAATATTTAATCAAAAATGATGGAGCACTTTATTTTAAAAGTTTTGAAAATGTACTATGGTATAAAGTACTCCACAAAATTATAATATCGGTTTCAAATTCAAGGAGCCGCAACATCAGCCAGATCGATTGGGGAATATCAATGGACGGACAGATGTTTGCAGCCATTCGATTTTTCGGTATCAAGGACTCACAAAATGGATTCTGTCTACACCACAGGATTTATTTTCTAAATCTAACAACTGGATTTAACCACTTTTTCATTACCAGTTCCCTGTAATGAAGAGTTTTTCTGATGAAAATTCACTATTTTTCAGGTTTAGTCATTACATAACTTTCTACTTGTCAGTAAAACATCACAATTTGAGCACTAAAATATTATTTTTTCCAACACTCCTCTTGAGGTTGTTTTTTCTTCTTTTATTCCACTTACACATTTTCAATAGTTTTCTAATGTTGAAAAACTCTGAAATGTTCAAGATTATTAGCATGGAGTGCTATAACTGTAGAACACAGTGCAGGGCTTTAGAATAGGTATGTTCAGAAGGATTTGTTTCAATTACCGAATCTTCTTCAGTATCTGATTCACAAATTATTTTGTCCCTTTCAGTTTCAATATCTCCACCTGGAAAAATCTTTTTATTGATATAGATTACTTCTTCGGCACTCTTCCCCATAATTGCGTATAGCATATTCATACTGCAGACTGCATCTTCAATGATATTCACTGAAGGCTGGCAATTCGTCCACCAAACCTCTGCTTGCCAGAAACATTTCTGGATGATCTGAGGCTTTGTATATTTTTCTGCTTTGAAGATTTCGACAATTCAGTTACATTAGTAGGGTACTATGTTTTTTTGATACCCTTGCATGACCTGAGCAATGGAGTCATGCAAGGGTATCAACGGAGGGGTTCACGGAGGGGTTATGATTCTCAACTCGGGGCAGTGAGATGCATGAACAGAAGCCTTGCCTGTACACCTTCCCACACTTCAGAGTGCCAGGAGGGGGGGAATTCCCTACAGTCTATGCTTGAGAGACAAGCAACGCTAAAGCAGAAGTTTACACTGACAGCTGAAGTCCCTCTCCTTCGCTGTGTGATTGTCATGACTACATCGCATGCCACAGGGACAGAGAATTTAAATGAGACTTGTAGATGCATTCATACCATTAAGAATATCTCATGTTTCCCTGTCAATTGAATTAAATTTGCAGGAATTCCTTTCTAATGGTTTTCTTTATCCTGCACTTGAAAAATCCGTAGTTTTCACATTGCGTTTCAAGTTGTGTAAAATTCCATTTAACTTCATGGACCACATACATTTTTTGGTAAATGCAGGTTTTCAGCTTGTACAGGTTTTGGTTTAGCCATGTTTTACTGTACCATCCACATATGGTTTTGAAATTTAGGGAGGAACAACACACTACAATATGGAAAAAAAACTGTTGGATTAAACACATGAAAGCATAGGAAAGCAACCCTATTTATTTGCTGATTACAAACAGTTGCAAAACCAGGTCAACTCTGCAACTGACTTTCAATGGCACGTTACAATGGAAAACTCATCTCCTTTGGTCCAAAGTGTTTCTACAAATATCTTAAAGAGTCAACTGAGTATCAATTGCTGCTACCTTATACTCCACCTACTACCTTAGATAAGGCTTCGGCCTTATGATCTTTGACCCCGCAGTGATTCCTGAGATCTTAGCCAATCACTTCTGAAGTATCTTTGTATGTGAAGTTACTGGTTCTCAGCCAACACAGCTCTCTCACACACTAATGCCAATCTCTGCAATGTCCCTGCTAGAATGGTTCATAAGCATCATGCAGAAATCCAAGACCTGCCCATGGGACCCAATGGGATCCGAATCGATATCCATTTCCTGATTGAACAAAGCGCTTCCTCGCTTAGTCCAAATTTGGTTGATATTTTTTAACAATCCATGAAAGAAGGTTGCCTTCTGTCGAAGGCTGCCTTTGCTGTCTGTGACCATCATACCCATATACAAAAAAAAAAAAAAAGAACAGTAGCAGGAAATTATCAACTTTTCTCATTCATCTCTCCTTTCATTAGTCATTGAAAAAATTGTTGTTGCCTCAATATTAGATTTCTATAAGAACACCATCTTTGCTTACAACTAACTTTACCTTTTTCCAGGCAGGTCTACCTGCTCCAACCTACTGAAATATTTGAGTGACTGGACCAAATTGCAAAATGACGACTTACCAGAAGATCATCTATACTGACTCCAAAAAAGCTTTCAATCAAGTCCCCCACAGAAAGCTTCTTTTGAAGCTCAAGCACTTGGGTTTATCAAATAATCTCCTATGTTGGATCACTCTTCTCTAGAAAAGTCAAGGAAGAACTGGCAGTTTTCTGCCCTCCAAAAAGCCTGTCCTCAATAGTGTTCCACAAGGTTTTGTCTCAAGCCCACACCTCTTCATACTCTAAATGACTACCCTCTGTTGCCCGATGATGCCCCTAATGAATGTATCCACAATGTCAAGTCATAGCTATGGTAACTTGCTTAAACTCGTTATTCAAGAAGATCTTGACAGGCTCTCGACATCAAATAACTGGCTGCTCACCATCAACTCACTGAAGTGTTCTGTTCTTCACATTGGAAACATTTTTTTTTACAAAAACTATCATCTGAACAACAAATACCTTTCTTGCATTCCATTTCAATCTGGCCTGAAAATCATAATCTCACATGATCTGTAACGGATGACATGTTCAATACGCAGCGAAGAAAGAGGTCAGTCTTTTATCTTGTCAACAGAACCTTCAAGCACCGGATACCTGAACTTTTCTGCAACAACTACACTACCTACATTGGACCAGTTATTGAATTTGGTCAATGCATCTGGGCACCATACTTTACCCAAGCTGTTGTCAATGCTCGTAGCATTTACACATTTAAACATTTGGAGTAATTTGTCACTTTCTCTCTTGATTATCATCTACTGTTTTTTTTTTATTCCTTTTTATTCCATTTTCTTCTGTATTTTTTTATATTTACCAAATTGTTATTTTTTTTTCATGTGCATCTTCATTTTATCATGAACATTATCAGAATTGTCCTGTCTGTTCATGTATTTGGTAAGTGAACAAACTTATTTGCTCATTTATTTACTGGCAAATGTATGAAATCACTGTATTTCTGGCTGAAGATTAGTTTCTATGTAGCTTATGTACTTCATTTGTTGAAATCTGTTGCCAATCTAACAATTTTAAGTTTTCATAAGATGTTTTGGCAAATGAAAAAAAAGAGCTTTATTTAATTTCTAATACAAATACTTTTGATACACATGTTTTATATAAATCAGTCTCCAAGTTACTGTAGCAGTCTTGTCCAAGTTACTGTATGCAGTCTCCATGTACTGATAAATATAATAACGTGAACATATCACAACTAATTTAAATATATTAACAACATGAGAGACAAGCCAAATCAATACATTTTTGTAATTTTTGAAGAAGAAAAAACAAAATAAGAGTGAAATGGTATTTATGTCATCTTATTGTGCATTTATAACTATCCCTACCAAAAGTTAAAACAAAAAGTTTGGAGCCGTTTTTGAAAATATCTTGTTTTTGTAATTTTTTTAAATTGCACATATTGCTCGCAATATTCCAAAAAAAACTACTAACATTCCCCAAAAAACCTACATGACCTTAATGCAAGAACACGCTAAGGAAAAAAAAATTATTTGAAGGAAAAATTCATATCATCATCTTTGTAGTTGTAGGAAAATGAATGAAAATTTTGAAATTTTCAAAAATTCACAGTTAACTGTGAAAATCAGACATATACCACCTTAAGTGTATTTTACTCTATTTTTACAAGAAATTTAAGGAAAAAATTTGGAGTCATTATTGATAAAATTTTGAAAATGTCCAGGGGGCTTCATGTAAAGTACCCTTGAAATTTTAAGATAGTTTTTCAAACTCGCAGCGCTGGGAGTCAAGCAAGACTGAGTGCAGAATATCCATTTTGGAAGGAAATCTTAAGAGTTAGGAGTTAGTGATGTTCAATGATGAACGGATATTTTGAAAAACAAAACACTTCTTTGGAATCACGGGACCCCAAAATTTGTATATTCGTTGAGATCTGAAAATAGATTTTCTGCAGCATTACATAGTACGTACTGTAGTACGTATTTTACTGTATATACGGAAAAGTAAAAAAGAATAAGTTCTATCTACAGTGCATTCACACCTGCCCTTCATGTAAAGTACCATTCATTTGGATCATTGACAAATAACAAAATATTCTTGTTCCTATGTCAGAGCCACTTTTCTAGTCTTAGGTGGAACTGGATTGCTCATTTCCTTGACAAGAGACTTCAGGAAAAGACATGACAGAGCTATTTTATGAAAAATGACAAATATAGTTTATTAATGGGGGAAATGGACAACATTTTTCCTCATCCTCTCACAATAATAACCTCATGGATTTTAAAAGTGTAATGCGGATTGATTTAGCTATCATAACAGTACTAGTTATTTTTTTAAACATGTACAACTAATATCCATGAATGGGAAAGTGTCCAATTTACAAATCTTACATCAATTACATAAATTACTTGTACGGCGCAGTGACACTTTATTATGCATGCCCAATTTCAAGATTAGATTTTGACCATTAGCATACACGATTAACACAAAATATCCTTGCAATGGTCCAATACATTTTCAAAGAAACTAATAGTCTGCGGATTTCAGCATACAGCAATATGTCATATGAAAACTTACAATTTTTAAGTTGGCAACAGATTTCAACAAATAAAGTTCAAAAGCCATTTAGATTTCCAGCAAGTAAACATCAGCCAAGAATTCTAATGGCAGCTTCACAGTTGATAATAAAACACAAATAAGTATATAAATACACTAGTTTTCAAAAAAACAAATACAAGATATTTACAGTGCTTTGTATCTCACAGCCAATGCTCCATTCATCAAGATCTTTAAGGTGGATTTCAATTCCATTGTGGAAGCAGTCCTGATAAAGCCTGATTTGATGAGGGGTTGTTAAACGAATTTGATCGAAACGGATGATGCTAGTCTTTTGAACACTGGTAAGTTCATCAAATAGTTGTTTAGTTTGAAGATTTTCTAAAATAAAAAGAAATACATTACATTACTATCCCAAAATATTTATCAATGATTTTGATGCATTAGAACAAATATACCTTCTGCAGGCACTGACAAGTAATGTCTCTCACATACAACATTTGAAAACAATGATGGCATCTGTTCATTAACTGCATCTGTGGCTTCGCTTGCAGCACCTGCAAAAAAAAAAAAAAAAAATGAAAAAAATATTAACTAAAAAAGCAAACAATAGTTTTATGATGATTGATATTTTGGCATTAATTTGATTTGTTTTGATTTATTTAGTAAAAAAAAAAACAAAATTAAAACAGTATGTGACATATGGGGACTTTTGTAATCTCTGCAAGTTTTCTGGAGTTCCAGAATCCATTCTCAGCATTTTAACCAGAAATAGTTGAAAGATGATTAAAAGATTAAAATAATAATAATAATAATAATAATAATAATAATAATAATAATAATAACAACAACAATAAGATAATAACAATAACAATTGCAATGGTAACAAAATAGTAACTTCCTCCCAGGAGAGTTCAACAACACATGCGCATAGTGTAGCTCCATTTATATCCAAAAGCTAAATAAGGGGCCATCTCAACATTTCCTCAGTGGGTCAGCGAAATTTGACAAAAACCTGATCAAGATGGGGGTCATTGACCCTGAAGCTAAAGTACATTAGTGCTTGATAAAGGCATATTAAGTTGTTTTTTTTTTATACAATACAAATGTAAACTAATGCATTGTATATCATTGTTTTGTTAAAATAAAGATTTTTTCTTTTTGGTGATCAGTACAGTCTCTAATTGTATTGAAACAGTTATGCAGCTGAAAAGATTTGACTTATTTGGACATTACTTTTACTTCACTGCATAATTAGCTTTTACTTAAATGGACTTTATATGATATTCAGAAACAAACATCTCCCCAAAACTTCAAAATTTTAACTTTTTAATTTACAAATTCTTCCCTCAGCACTTTATGAAATAATACTTTTCATTGAAAATGCCAAAATTTCAATAGATAAAAGACTTTCTCACTAGTGTGGTTATGTCTTTCTCTCAGAATTCCTCAGTCAGTCTCTCTCTTTCTCTGACACTTTTCGGTTTGTTTCCCTCTCTGCACCTGTCTTTTCCAGGTGGAATTTCACAATCGCACAGGCAGAATAAGTAATGAAGACGTTTTAATAATCGTACTTCAGTTTAGGGCGGGCTGCGCAGAGATCACCATGGCATAAACAGTCCTGATCAGGACTCTTGAGTGTACATAAAATTATCATCAATAGGCATCTAAGCATATACACATTCCCACTGTACTATGCCTATATTCTTCCCAAAAGTGCAAGCAATAAGTTGATAATGTTTTATCACAATCGGATGAACGATATGGCAGCGCATTAAGCATGAACCAAAAACAAACAAACATGGTCTTTTATATATTTATCATTTTCTAGGAATAAAACCTAATAACATCTTCAAAATATTTTTAAGAAAACAAACTGTTAAAATTTTCAGATTTTCAACAAATTTATTATTATTTTTAATATTATTAATTTTTTCCTACCAATTTGTCACCATGAGGCCATTTGATACATGCATCTGACCATACTTCATTATTGGGGCAAGTGCACGTTACTTTTTCTGTAGAGGGGAACCAGCATTTCAAAGCGGATTCCATTTTTATACCTTAGGATTGTTAGCCTTGTGGGATGGAATGAAATTATTATTCTTATTATAATGATGATGAATGATGAAATATACACACACAAATATAGAGACATGCACAACACAACCATGCCTGAGGCAGGACTCAAATCCGCGATCTGCTGATCCGAGACCGATACGGTACTACTGCCTTGCCAATCACGGCCATGGATCGACATATTACTTTATTTTTGTTTTTGTTATTACTGTTATCGTTGTTGTTATTATTATTATTAATCATCATCATCATCATTGTCATAATCTTTTTACATAAATTTAATGTTTTTGGTGGCTTGCAAAAAATTAAAAACAATACATTATCTCTTTACTTAATCCTGTCAACTCTTAATAATCTTTATTCATATTTTCATCATCCATGCAATGTATTCCAAAACTAATGAACTTTCTGACTCCAACACATACTTACTTTCTATAACCTTGTTTAAAATATTAACTATAGGCTCATTTATTGATAAATACTTCAACAAATGTTTCATGTATATGCCATTTGTCTCAGTCTTACGTTCATAAGCACCTAAACTACTTGTAGTGGCATAAGCCTGGATTAGATTACGTTGAGGTTCAAAGACAATTGGAGCAACAAGTTCATCATGCATTCCAGGATTTTCTTCTCTGCAATCATAAAAAACTACCATGAGTCATACATTATTTTAAGGGATAAATTTCCTTGATCCTACGAAACAAACATAGAACAAACAATTAACATCATTTTACAAAAAGCAAAAACAATATAAAAAGCAAGAAGATCTACCTGTCAGAAATACACGAGAAAGACAGCCCTTTGGATTTGGATTTTGGCACATACTAGTTTTTAAAAAATGTACAAGATGATCAGGCAGTAGATATATTCAACCTTCTTTTTTTGAATGAGTTTAAGTAATCTCTAACACACAAACAAGATATGTTCATGACAAAATGTCTGGATGTGTACTTCAAAATGCATTGTTAGAAAGAATTGTGAAGAACTCCAGAAGGCAAATGAATGAATCAGATCTTAATTTTCACCACTCAAACGACACAGATTACATAGCATGGCTTGAACACCCAGAGAAGAACACACTATGCTCCGCGAAGTCCCAGACGTTAAGCAACTCACAACCGATTCCCGGACTATTGACTATCTGGGAACACCAGTTAGTGTGATGGGGATAAGGGTCAGCCGTAGGGATAAAAAGCATTGAGAGGCTAAAGTTGCAAGGCAAACAACAAAACTTAATGGAAGATTACTCCAAATGTATTTATGCTCACTGCCCAAAAGGTTTGAGAGACATGTTGCAAAAAAGATGCAACTAATTTAAAATGTATACATACACACACACACTCAACACAAAGTCAGGTTAGTTCCAGCATTTATAACTCAAAAATGGCTGGTTCAATTTTAATTATCTCTAATTTGTTGGATTCATCATCTCTGCTCTGCATAGCAGAATAACTATTATATTTATATATCAGAAAAAGAACACAAGATGGCACTAGTGATTTTTAGGCACTAGTAGAACACAAACTAAAAATCATTTGATGGCACTAGTAGAACAAAACTTAATATTCATGTCAAATGCAATCCACAACACATTTGGCAGGATTTTCTTGCATCTATATAGTTAAATAACACATTAATAAAGCATTGCAAGGCATTAAAAACATTCATTTTGAGGCCAAAGACCTCTAAGGAATGTTCTCGCACCATAATCTACAAGATGAGATCTTTTTGAAGATTCTATTATATTTCTGCTGAGGTGGTGGGAGAGGGGAGAGAAATGAAGAGAGAGAAAGGGAGATGAAGGGCAGAACATCTTTGGGGTATCACTAATAACACAAACAGCAAATGTGAATTATGACAAATACAAAATACCAACCTTTTTGGAACTTTAAGACACATATCCAGCATTAGCAAAAGGAGATTTGGTTTTCGTGCTAATACCTCTTTGATCACATGGCGCTCACAAAGACTATCTGAACGTCGATACATGTCTGAAGTAGGACATTCTACAGGTAGCATATATTTGTCATGCAATTCAAATCCATGTCCCGCAAAATAAAAAATTGCTGTAACAGGATACAACAAAATTTATTTTTTTAGAAAATAATTTTTTGTTTATTTATTTGCTGTTGTTTTATGAAATTAATTTTTGTCCAATATCTTATATATTTATACAATATACAGTGACACAGTTTAGTAGTCTTTTAACACTTTTAGAATGTAATACATAAAGAGAAATAACACAATAACATATTAGGGGTGAATGATACTTACTATAGGCACCTTCAGGAATGAGTTTGCAGAAAGTCTTCACAGCATTGATCATTTCCACCAAAGTCAAATTACACAACGACAGAACCTTAAACCCTAAGTCCATTAAAACATGTGATAATGCTTTCACATCGTTATATGGTGTACAAAGATCTTGAAGATTGGCGTACTCTACATTTGCAATAAGAAGAGCTACTTTCTCGGTAACTGAAAAAAAAAAAAAATTATTAAGTTTAGAATTTCTGTATGAAGCAATGAATTAAAGAGAAGTTTTCTTATAAATAATTCGTAACACCCACATTTTTTCTAAAATTTAAGCATCACAATATTTAAATATCGGTATAACCAAGAGAGTATGTAAGGGAAACTTCTGTATGAAGCTCTAGGTACATTAATATCTTCTTAGTGTCACTAATGTCCGCAAGTATTCAGACCCCTTTTATTAAAATTTAAAGTAATGACTCTGCTTTGGGTTTGCATTAATAGATCTGTCACAGACAGTTAATAAATTCCTCTTTACAATATTAGCTTCTAACACACAATATCGATCCTGTAGTACCAGATCAACAAACATTTCTTTTTTGCTGAATAATCATTCTTAAAGAATTCTAAAATTACAGGAATTTCACTGCTGTTGTTCCTATATGTATTTGTCACTTGTTGCTTAAAACTTTCAATTCAAGCCTTTATCCCAACAAAGAATTTTCAGTAGTTTTTCAGATTACTGCAAATCTAAAGACTGCTGAGATTGTACTTCATTTTGCAAGTAGGCAGTACATTTGGCTCCCTCTCCTCCAATCCCAAATACTACTACATAAGCAGTAGCATGAGAGTAAAGACGTTGTAGGAGAGCATAAAGCACATGCTTTTTTGAGTGTTATTGCAGAACAAAATAGAGGGCAAAAGGCAAAATTTCTGAAGGCTTCGTGTTTGACAAGTTATTTAATTTTGACATTACATTAGACTAAATTATAAGTTTCTCATGCATCATTTAAGTTAGTGAAAGTGGGGAAAAATGAAAAACGACAACCATAGACATAATTTGGATAATTTAATAAACTCCTAATTTGGATAAACTAATAAACTTTAATTCCACATTATCAATAAGAAAACACTGTACTTACCTATTGGCATTTCCCGAGTTGGTTCTTGAGAACATTCAGTAACCTGTATCATACAAAAAAAACCAAAATCATTCACAATAAACCTAAAATTTAATATATGCTACAGATATGATCTCCAAGAAAGTCACACTTCTAAGCCAGTCATTACAGTCAAAAATATATTTCACAGAGATTTTATATATAAATCACACTGCAGGATAATACTTACAGATAATTTGACTGGTTCAGTTACTTTTACATTATACCCATTGCTCACTGAACATTTGTATATTCCAGAATGACTTAGAGAAGCATGAGGTATCTAAAATCACGTACAATTCATTTAATGACTCTAAACAAAAATATGATATTTAAAATATCAGCTACATAACTTTCAGATATTAATTACAATGCAAGACATAGATCTCCAAATAATTTGTATTAAACATTGTAAACCTTAAGAACAGGGCCATTCTGATCAACCAAAACGGTATTATCACGCATCCATTCATACGTTGGGGGCGGATACGAAACAGCTTTGCAAGAGATTATCACTTCTTCTCCAATATTAACTGTTTTTGATTCAGGCTGTTCTTGAATAACAGGAGGTTCCGGCAACATCATAACATTGACAGGAACAGAATACTCTTGGTAGTGTCCATCAGAACAGTCTTGATAGACAAGGCATTTATATTCCCCTATATGTTGAAGCCTATGTACAATTCAAATGTAAATTCAACACAAATACCCATATATCCATAGACTAAACAAAATCCATTTGTATAATTATTCTCATTAGTAATAATTACATCACAATTTTCTTGCATTAATTGCAAATCAGATACTACAGAATAATCTGCACAAGTTCTGCGGGTCTACTGGTTTCTTCCTGATTGCTACCCAAGAGTCGGAATGCTAATGACATTCAAATTTAGTGGTTATACAAGCATTTTTCATCATACAAACTTTTACAACTAATGTTTTATGTCCTCACTAATACGATAAGCACTAGCTGTCCTATTCAATTGTGGGTGAAATCTTGGCTTATTTCAAAATTTCTAGTGTGGATACAGTGCAGATGGCTGAATTTGTTGATGGAATCTAACCCTAATTATCTTGAGAGAAAATTCTGGCTAGACTTTTAAACAACTGATTTTTGAAATCATAACCCACTTCTGCTTTTGTAAAAACCGAAATTATTTCATTAAAATTTGAATTACCCAAAGTCACCAATTCGTAAAATAGATGTCCTCTGGTCAGTAAGTTCTTCATTTTCACAATACCACAAGTATCGTGGAGGTGGCACACCTTTGGCTATAATCTCTAAACGTAATTCTCCACCAAAGGGAACATATACATCATTATCTTCACCTTCCCCAGGTTGGACTTCTATAGTAAGTGGTTCTGAAATTGAATTATAGAATAAAATGTCATTGAAATATCGATCAAGTTTACAATGATGATATGATATCCAAATGAAGAAATTAGTATCTTACTAGGTTCCGAGAGCACAGCAGCAGCATCATATAATTCACACCTTAACAACAATGAACGTAAATTTTTTACTTTCCACAATCTATCATCCAGTGCATTTAAAATTGTAGTGGCAGGACATGGCTTTTGTTCCAAACTCTCTTCACTAGAAGGCAATGAACAAGAAAGTAATGAACTATTCAAAATTGATACACGATACGTTTAAAGAGTTCTACTTAATACAGACTTAAGTATTGGAAGAGGGAGAGAAGAGGCTAGTCTTCGCCATGCATCACGTTTGTTTAATTTCTCAACCAATGCACGATAAATGGCTCCATTTAGTTTCTTTATGCCACTATCCGGATCAGGGAGAGCTGTCATTTTCTGTTTTTAGCAGTATCTTCCAAGCAAATATGATCTTCAGTAGGAATACCACTCTTTCAGATGACGTCTCACTAAAAATGTGTTCAAATAAGGAATTTGTAAGATTTCATAGAATAAACCAGCTTTTCCTTGTGCGCTGACATTCTATGCATTCTGAAAGATTTACTCTTCAGGCCACTTCAAACTCGCATGTCAACGCGGCTATTCAATTATTCGTGACATTACTTAACATTTCTTGTTAGTTTGTAATATACTTGTAATATATTACTTACATGCCGTTCCACTAAACCTTTCACATCCTCTTGCTTGACATTCTAATAATTCTGACGGTTCTGACGTTCTGCACCTCTATTCATGGGTGATACAAACTGGTTTCGTATTTCGAATGGTTATGTTGGCTATCATGTGAGAGTAGAATTAACTCTTAAATGTTGTCTAACTTTTACACCAGATGGCTCAGCGTTCGCTGTCAATTGCGTTTCATTGGCTATACTTGTGTTGCCTTGCAAGTCAAAACCAAAGCAGCCATCATGGCGAACCCAAGGAAATTTAGTGAGAAGATTGCGCTACACACTCAAAAACAAGCCGAAGAGACAGCTGCCTTCGAAAAGATCATGCGTGAGGTGTCGGATGCGACAAGTAGGGTAAGAATTTTCTGCAACATCACTTGTCTTGGAAAGTGGCGTCACGTATACTCTACCTCCCAACATAAACAAGTCACTTAGCTATGTAGTTCAAATTTTTGTTTATTTCTTTTACCTCATATGTTTTGGGTGGATTATAAACTGTCAAAATGACTTTCATTGTTTTTTGGGTGTGTGTGAGCTTTAGAGTTGTTTATATCAGCCTTGTTTGGTCATATTAATGAAGCTCTCCCCCACAACACAATGAGGGAAGTTCAGTTTGTCTGAAACCATCCTCTTTGTGACACTTGTTTCGCTACAATTTCCCAGGCTTTTTGCTATAGTATATTGATATTTGTGCATAATAGGATTGACAATCAGTTGGTAGAATATATTTCCAAGCAATGAAGTTTTAACCAATGCTGGTAGTTCACATGTAATTTACATACTGCATTTTAATGCTAGATTTAAACATGGGAAGTAAAAAGCATTTGAGTAAATTCATGTAAATGTTGACGTATTTGCCATAAATATTAAGAAGTGTATTTATATAACATTCATTGATTGTTTTTAATGTTTTTGTTACTTTTGTTTTCTTTTTGGTTTATTGTTTTTCATCTTGATATTCTGAATGTGACTAGTGTCTGAAGGAACAGCATATTCAGTGTGGAGAATGAAAGTGTTTCAGTCAACATTTGTATTTTTCTACCTCTCATCATTAGGAAAATGATAAAGTTTAATGAAAATTGAAATAGGCAACAGTGGTAGTGCATTGTGATTTTTTTCAAGATTTGTTAAGGTAAAGGAAGTGTCCAAAATGTGCTAACTAATTTATTTACAAAAGTAGATATGAGACTTGGGTTTGTAAAAATGGAAATGTTGCCTTCATTGGGAAATTGGATCAAGTGCTTTATAAAATTGAGTGAAAACATATTATAAATGAATTTGTGTGTTTTTCTGTAGTTTAATGAGTGCTATCGAGTTCTAGGGCACTGTGACACTTGATGACCACAAGTACTTCTCACGATAGTTTATCACATTGCACCAATGTAGTCCAAAGTATACACGAGTGATTACTTGTTTGACAATGGAACTAATATAACATTTTTCTGATAGCAACACTTGAATTAGACTCTTGAGTATCAAAACAATGAACATTTATCACATAAAGTATATTGCCTTTTCTTTTTTATTTAATTATTATTGGAAATAATATATTTCTGTACAGTTTCAAAGACAATTTACTATCTGTTCATGGTTGTATTTTTGTAATAAATATTCATAAGAATTCACTGATGGAGGTAAATAAGATATTTTTATTAATAATTTTCAAAAAATATCAGAAAGGAAGATTCATTTGTTGCTAAGATTAGTGTTATTTTTTGCGCTTGAATTGTAAAGCTGTATGTCGCGTTGTGACAGTGTGTGAAGCTAAATGATTGGAGTTAAATTGGGGTATGCCTAAGCATTAAGAGCTCTCATAGCAGTGGAAAAGAAACAAAACAATACAAGAAAAAAAATTCTTGGTCTGTGCGTGGCAGCTGCATGAGCGCCAACCTTGAAGCACGAGCTTGCCAACTAGTTGAGGCTGTCCCTACAGCTGTAGTTGGCTTTGTGTAAGATCGACGGGGAAAGAATTTTCCTTTCACAGATTCCTCTCTACCAATCCTTACAGATAACTTTGCACCCATATTCCAGTTACATTTATTAATATCCTTTTATTACAATTTTTGCTGCTGTACATTAAAGCTATAGTGAGTACTAGTTTGCATCTATTGTGTAATTTTTTTGTAGTTTGGATTATTGCACATTTTAACAGTCTGAGCTATAAATTACTGATCAAAGGCTGCAAAGCTTTCATTTTGCATGTTTTCATTATTATTCCTCATAATTTGTTGAAAAGATGGATGAATTTATAGAATGTGATAGCTAAGGAAAGGAAAGAGGAGGGGAAGTTAAATTGTTTTCTAGTTAATAATTTCTTTTTGCTTCAGTATCATTGCTCATACCTCATTTTTATCAATGTTTTCATAGACAGTTTTGGCAAGTGCTGCAAACACTCTCCAATAAGCTGTGCATGGCTTGTGGCAACTGTAGTGGCTTGTATATAACAATAATTCTAGCACTATAGGTGTTTAGGAGATTCGGGAACACTGTTCACCAAAGTAATAGTTTGTTGTATGGTTGTGGGGTGTGTATGTGATCTGGGATCTGCTTGGGTGGCGGTTTGGGCCTGTTCTCCAGTGGTGGTGTGTGCTCTTTGTGTTCTAGGTGCCAAAGCAGCATCTTCACATTAACCAATCTCTTGGAGCCTACAGGGGCGGATCGCTGCCCAATGTGAACTCTGTAGATTTGAAGGTATGGGTGGCAAGTCGTGTTTAATGGTGTCTCTCTGTGCGCGCGTGTTGTATGTGTGTGTACAGTGGGTGGGTTTGGCCAATCTCACAGGGATAGCGGATTTTCCCTTGAGCGGTGTAACCTGTTTTGTTCATTGTTTAATGAATGTTGTTTGTTTGTTTTCACTCGAGGGCGTTTCCCCTTGTAATTGTGTGATTATTCTTTCTGGCTAAGGGAAAGTTTCTGCTCGAGGGAAATACGCAATTCCGTGTCTGCTACACGTTTGTACTTTACAGTGTTTAAGCATGCCATTTCAGCATGACTAGCGGACTCTGGTGATATATTTATACATCTCAGCGCTTTTTTCGCCTTTTCCAGTCCCTGCCCCCTTCCCGCCCTCTCATCCCCTCCCCGGACGTCCGGCGCGGCGCGGCCTGCCGCTCCGCGCAATTCGGCGCCGCCTCGCGAGTCGCCGCGCTGCTGCTGGTCCTATTGTTGCCGGCGCCGCCGCCGCCGCTGCTGCGGCAGGCGCGCGCGCACGTCGGGCACGGCGCCAGCGGCACCCTGACCAGCGCGTCGAAAACATTGCTTTCGATAACGTATCTCCCAGTGGCGTCATTCATTTCTTTCCGGCCCGCTGCCCGACGGTCCGCAGGCGCGCGCGTACGGCGACGGCCCGGCCCTGCCCGGCCGCCTCCGCGGAGGCCAGCGAGACCTCCGAGGAGGAAGAGGCGCGCTCGCGCGGGCCGCCGCCACCGCCGCCGGCGGTTCCGTCATCGCGCCGCTCGTCGGCCTTGGCCTCTGCGCCAGGAAAACCGCGCGCGCTCGCTCTCGCAGCCGGTCGGCCCGCCGTCCTGCGGACCGCGCTCCGCCCCGAACCCGGGTCTCGAGCGGCGCGAGATCGATGAATCGCCGGCGGCCGCGAGAGCGCGTTCGCGCGCCGCCACCTCGCGCGGTGGGATTGCGAAAAGCCCGTCCGGCTCATTACCCTTGAGGCGCGCGTGAGCGAATATCGGCGCAGTCACGCCGGAGGTTCCCACAGCCGCGGCCCGGGACAATGGCGCGCCGCCGCGGCGTCGGCGACGGGCGCGAGCAGCCTTCGCCGCTTCCGGTGTAGCGTGCCCGCCGAGCGACATAAACAAACAGTATTGATCGCGCGCGGCGCCGCGAGGCCGCCCCGCCGACGCTGGCGCCGCGTGAATGGCGAGCGCGCGCTGTCGCTGTCACCGCGTGCTGTGGCAGATGGGCGAGCGAGCAGGCGGGCGGGCGGGCAGCCTACTACGCCGCCGAGCCACGTGGCCCGCGCCGAGGCCGCCGAGCCAGCCGGAGGCGTCGCCCGAGTAAACAAGTCCCCTCCTCTCGCCGGCGTCTCCGCCCCGCTCCGCTCCGCTCAGCTCGCTGGCTGCGTTGTGCGCGCGAGCGGCGTCGGCTGCGGACCTTCGAACCGCTTTGCGCGAATCCCGAGAAGCAGCGTGCCGCCCGCGCAAGGTCGCCGCCGCCAGCGCCGCGCCTGCGCGCCCGACTGCCGGCTGCGCCGCGCCTGTGACGACGCGCGATTAGGCGGAAGAGCGCCGCCCGCTTCCGGTTGGCGCTGGGCTCGAGGCGCGATGCCCAGCGCCCGCGGCCCGCCCGCCCGGGGATGGGGAGGAATGTGACGTGGCCGGAATTTGAGGTGAACGCTGGACGAGGGAGGGGTGGGGGAGCGACTCCGTGCTGGTGAAAGGGGTTGTCACTCCGCTCCTGCGGCCTTGACGTATGGGGGCTATTTTTGATGCTCGGGTCTGGAATTTCTTTCATGTCTTGACTGTTCTACTCCAACCGCTTTTTTTTTTTAAGAAGTGCACTAACTTGCTTCTTGGAAATGGAATCGGGCAGTAATGTGTAGTTAGTTATTATTTGCATTTAAAATGTTTTTATCGGATTTTCGTTAAAACGTAAGCGAATCTGCTAGGCTTCAGCACAGGCACGACGTACAAAAAAACAGTTCATCGTGCGTGTCGTCAAATACAGAACACCTAGAAACAGATGCGATCATGTTTAAATATTTTTGATCGTTCTTGCCGGCATATTTGAAGCTGTTTACCTCCTACGGAAAAAGAAAGCGGTGTTGCCCGAAGCAGATACTCCTTTTATTGTGCGCCATTTTCCTGGAAAAACTTGAACAGGAACTCGTCCCGGCAATTTGCTTGCCTCGTTCAGGATACATAAGTAGAACGCATCAGGAAAGTAGGGGAACCACTTCAGTACGTAGTGTAACCGAGCAATGTCTGATGAAAACTTACTAACGGGACATTCGGGTATGCGTGGTTTGAGGAAAACTTAATATTTCCGTTTAAAGAAAATCGTGCGTGTCTCTCTTGTTTACATGCGGATGCTGACGCGGAAGCCCTTAAGAAGATATGACGTTTCAGGAAATGTTAGTTCCTGATGGAATTTCCGATTAGGGAATCGAATATCTTGCAGCTCTTTGGTGTAGTTCCTAAGACAGCGGGGCGATGGCTTCGAAATTGCTGTACTATCCTCCACTTTTCCGAATGCAACTAGAGTAAATTCGTTGTTTTGTTTTTTGGTATTTATTTAATTTGTTCGTGTTTCAAATGTATAAGAAATATCAATAGGAAGATTTAAAATTTCATTAGCAAAAGCTATTTCAAAAAGTCCTTCGCTTGTCTGATTTTTTTACCTCTAAATCCAGATTTGGAGTTTTTGGCAACGGAGGACCGCACGTTTTTAAAAGTGTACCGATTGCTAGTAGCGGCACCATATCGTTCTTATGGGTTTTGTTACAGGAGAGTTAGAAAGTACTAGTAACTCCCAAGGGAGTTTACTCTCTGTGATGAGTTACGTTAGTAAGCGCTTTAAAGTGAAATTATGTTTGCTTTCAGTTGAGAATGCAGATAGTATTTAATATTCCTTCCTTATTTTAATATTAGCCACCGGGGGCTTCTCAAGAGAATAAGAATGTGCGGAAGACGAGGGGCGTGAAGTGAACAGGACACTCACTATAGGGAGAAGTCGAATGCACAGTTTTACTTGCTCGCCTACTGCGACTACGTTCTTGCATTGTAACGAAAAAAGAATTGTAATGCTGGGCCAAAAATCGGCCATTTGTGGTCAAACTTGTGCCTGATATGAAATAGTAAATACATTTTGTTCTTACTTGGAGAAAATTACTTCTGGCACCTTGTGTTGTCGGAATCCACGTTTTGTGGGTCCTTGAAAGAGGAAAATAATAGCAAAACGTCCTTCCATTTGTGGCCAACGATAGCGCGTAAACTGTTCAGTTTTCTTCAAAATCAATATTCTCGATTTGATCTGGCTGAATTCGAGTCCCTGCGAATTGTAAAGGGATATTGTCACTTTCCACGATTCCTCAACATTTTGAAACTTTTCTCGAAAATTAGCTCCAATTTTTTTGATTTTTTAAATTTATTTCCTTTTTTCCTCGGAAATAGCTAAGGAACCTTTAAAAGGGGGCATTTTCATTGAACCCTCTAAATGTTTGAAAATTGTACCCCTCCATTTTTTTTTCCTTCAGCTTCAGCGTTAAAAATAGATTTTTCCTTTAATGAAATCATAAAATCAACAATGGTTCATCAATTTTAAAATACGGTATGGTCTAGTTTTCGAAAATAGAATATTTTTGCGTGAAATATAGTCAACTATAAAAATATTTTCTCAGAAAGTACTCCGAAGTTTTTCCTCGATGTTTTTCTTGAATGTAGCAAAGGAAGCTTATAAAAATGAACCCAGATCCCGTTTTGTACTTCCGAAAATTTTTGAAAAAATTAACATCGCGAAACTATAATATTGATGATAGAGTTTTTCTTGGAGAAAGCTGTTGTAAAAAATATTTGAAGGCTATGAACCGTTTTTGCATATTTGAGACGTTTTCGCATAATTATCCATGAAGGCTTGTGTGTGTTAATTCTAAAAAAAATGTGTTTCTAAAGTTCGCTAACAAACATGGCACAGGTTCATTTTTCGTTGAATTCTATGAATTTTTAGCAATTGCAAAAGTTACACCTTATGAAAGTGGGGCGTGATGTCTACTGCAGGGGGCCCTGCAACACGAAGGCATAACACATGAACGTCGAGCGGGCTGCCTAATAAACAGGACGGCGACAAATCTGAGAAAACTCTAATTGTCAGGGAATTTTATATTTTCAGGAAAACAATTAATGTGAAAATAATATTTCGAAGAAGCGATTTGTTTTTGTTATTTTTTAAGTCATCGTTTAAGGGGAGAATGGGAAACATGTGCTCGAAAATTCCGTTTTGAGAAAATCGTGTTCTAAATGTTTCCCGAGTGAAGTAATGGATTCGTTTCGAAAGATGCGTAGATGTAAATACACATAGAAGGGTCTGTCGCCGCTGTTCGATAGGACAGTTCGCTCGGACCGTCCGGCATGAACCTATATTTTAAGTACACGACATTCCATGTGGTGACAGAAGAGGTAACCTTCTACTAAGATGGTCCGCGGACAGATTGTGAAATGCATCTGATATTTAGCACAGGAATCGACAACTTTTGCTTCGTCGCCGTCGGTCTGTTGCAATTCGGTCTTTTTCGGTTTCACGGGATAATGCAATGGAGAAATTGCATGTTCCCAGAAATTCTAATTGAATATTGTAAATTCGTTTCAATCCAAGAAATCTAATTAGCAAACCCATGTAAGGTTTATATTAAATTGGTATGAAATAGTGGAATTACTGCTAATCTTGATATAGACGAAAATGCTGGTGTTCGAAATTATCTTTAAAACAATTACGTGAAATTCTTTGTTACGATATACAGAATAACGTAAGAGGGTTGATCAAGAAAAAGTTGGGAATACCTGCTCTAGCTTTTCGTTTTCCTCTGTAGCACCCTCCTCCCAGGCCGTTCATGCTGGTTTCGAAATCAGACGGAGTTCAAAAAAACGTGTTCACGTATGTAATTAAGCTCACAGGCCCCAAGCCCCTGTCTGACGAGGCTGATTCGCTTGTCTGGACTACTGTTAACGTATTACTCTTACGTAAGATCATTT